GTCCTTTGAGTTTTTCCGGCCAACAGCACCAGCTTCAGCCCGGAATTCCATTACCGGTTAATCGTCAATCCCTGGAAATCGCACCTAGTCAGTTTAATTCCGTGCCGCAGTTGCCCAGCATTTCTCCACATCCACCACCAATTACTGGTACCACTCCTGGAGTTATGTCTGCTCTTTCACAGCCAAATTTTTCGCAAAATTCCCTCTACTCCGGAACTCCCCAAAATTTTTTGACTGCACCTTCCGCACTTCCAGCAGTAGCAACAACAACAGTTGGAGCATTTCAACCATCGCTTCTAGAAGCGCAACAACTTCCCGCTGCCTCACAGTTCACATTTGCTACAAAGCAACAAGGGCAAATTGGACAACAACAGCAACAGCCTGGAGTAGTTTCTCCCTCGATGAGTACCACCTCTGCTCCGATTTCCGCTCTGCCTCAGCAGCAGCAGCAGCTATCTTACAGCAGCTCCCCGTTCGCGCCTGTCAAAATACATCCTGATAATGCTGCCGGTGCCTTCTTGGCGTCAGCTTCGTCTCCGGTTTTGCCACAACCGACGATCCTACCACCACGCGTCATTTTTGTGAGTTTGTATTTTTTTTGAAAAAATTCCCAAAATTTGCTCACAATTTCTTTTTTTTTTACGTTTCCAACACTCCCCCTCGAATTGTGGGTTTCGCTCGAGTCGTTGCTGTCTTCTGTAGCCGTCTGCCAACACAGTTCGTGGGAAATACCTCCTAATCGTGGGAATAGCAGGAAATTTTTGATATGTAAATCTTCGGTGGCTTAGCATCCTGTGCTGAATTGGTCATTTCTCTCTGGCTACTCGGAGCAGTTTTGTATAGTACTGGTACTTTCATGTGTTTTAACTTGACCGTGGTTTGCAATCCAAAAAAGGGTGATACTTTGGTAGGAAATGTAATTTTTGCACAGGGATCCATGTACTGTCTGTGCCGACGTGGCAGCACTGAAATGGATTTTCGGAAATATTTCTATAGGATGTGTATATTTTTAACAATACTGAGTTGCATTACTATTATTATTATTATTATTATTATTATTATTATTATTATTATTATTATTATTATTACTGTTA